AACTGTGAATGGTGAGGTGCCATGATTCATAAGCTAGATAAAGTAGTAGTATATTTTTTTAATAAATTTATTATTAATAAATTTTACTCCAATCCAAGATCATTAATTTACCAGACTGTAAGGTTGATCATAAGTAACAGAGTTGAAAGTGGTGGGAGTTGCTTTCGATGGATCGGTTTGAAGACCCTTATTATTATCATCGTCATCATCCATATGGGCGGATTTGTCTTTTTTTAATAATGTGATAAATTTGAAATCATATATAATGATTTAGTTTACTCTTGAGATTTTTAAAGATAAATAAAGGCTTTAACATTATTATTGTTATTATTATTATTTTAAATAATTAAAGAAATGTAAAGAAGGTTCGTCGTGTAAAAAAAAAAAATAAAAACAAGATTTAGTAAAAGTGTTTGACAACATTTTAGCTTTAAGATAAACGAAAAGTTACAAGTGGAGATGAGATAGTGAGATAACTTTTAGTTTTTGATTTTACCTGTTTGTGTTGGTATTGGTGGTTTCTAGTCCAATAAGAAAATGAGAAGTTTAAAACAAATGGATTATTGATTGGTGCGAGAAATATGAGAATATGTTGATTATTTAGTGATTTGGTGTAACGTTAAGGAATTTATTGGACATTTTTAGCTTAACCCACCTGGTTTAATAGATATGTAGTGGTTATGTACTAGCCCCGATTTAAAGGGTTTTATTCACCAAGTTATTGTTCAAATGGAATTAAAGTAACCACCCAACATTTCTTCTATCAGGGAGATAAAATACATGTTCAAGAGAACTGGGTCAAACTTTGGGTAATAGAATGTACTTTTTCAATTAATCATCATGTCTGGCAGAATTTCACTTTAGTGGTATACTTGGTGATACCCCTTTACTGCGTATTTACATGTTTAATGACAATTTACCATGAATTTGCAATTATCATTAACCCGGACCTAGCTAGAATTTCTCAACATGCTTCCAGGACAAGATTCTAATGAAAATACACTGTGTTCAGGGCATTGACTTTTTTCTAAAGGGCCAATTATTTATACATGAAAATAAAATAAAATAAATTTTTTCACCTTGTTATTCCTTTAATCGTACTACCATGGTGATGGATCTGATATAAATGAGTTTCATATCTCTATTTTCATTTATAAGATTAGCTCTAAATACTATAATCAAGGATCTTTCCAAAATAATAATTTTTTTGGGATTGAATTTTTGGAATAAAAACCTATGTAAAGTCATTACAATTTTCAAAATCAATTAAAGTCATTCATTGTAAATTTTTCAAAAAATTGAATAATAATAATATAATATATAATACATATGTATATAGTGATAATAATAACATAAATTAAAAAAGTTAAATATCTCAAGTCCTACGATTACGATTAGCACCAACATTAGTATTAACAACATTATCAACATAATCATTTTCATCATCAGTATCATCATCAAATTCAGCAGTTAATTCACAAAGATGATGTATACTTCTAAATGGTACTATTAAATCCAAGTAGGTTTGCATACTGGCAGCCATATAATCATCCTTACTCATTGTTTTCAACATATACCAATTATCCAATATAACAAAGAGTGATAATAAAGTTGAGAAAATAACTGCTGGTATAGCATCCCAAAATGTAAAAAACCATGGATGTAAAACCAAAGTGGTTATTGCAATCACTATTAGTACCGTTATGCTATAATTATAATTAAGATGATGGATGATGATAATAATAAAAATTATTATTATTATTTATACACACACACAAATATAATACAAATATTATATATAACTTACATTGTTGCTTTACTTTTAAATCTATAAGTGTATTGATTTGTATATCCAATAATAATAAATATTGCAACTACCAATAATATGATTAAAGCGTCAAGCACACAGAATAATCTCAACAGTGATGCTAAATTAAATAAGAATTGGATATTTATAATCAATTAATCAATCAATCAATTTTTAACCAATTAATAATCGCTAATCTATTCTTAAATACTTACTAGGAGCAGCAATAATAACAGCATTAAGTAGAGTGTATAAAACAACTAAATACCAAGGCGGTTGAAAACTATCATTTGATTTCCATGTAATTCCAACCAACAAAATAAGTGATAAAACTGGGAGTATTGGATAATACCAATCACTAAAGAATAATGTATAATCATTGTTATATATTGATCAATCAACAAATAAATAAATAAATCATAATAATAATAATAATCTTACAATCTTTGAATAAAATGTCTCCAATGATACTGATATAATAATAAACCTGTAAATGCTATAGTGACTATAAGTTGCAATGCAAAGATCATACAAACTTTACGAACAAATGCTATGAAAAACATATAAATCGTCCATTTAAAAATATATTACAATGATAATAATAATAATATTATATTATATATAAAAAATAATTATTAATTACCCATTTGAGATTTAACATTCAATAAAATAACAGGAACACCAAAGGGATACAAAGGGCTATTCTCGTTAACTCCTTCCTCATCCTCCATGTTAACAACAGTATCACCTGTCTCAGAAAAGGCTTGATAAGGCATTGTTATTTATCACGAGTAATTAAATATATAAGCTTTGTTTTTATTTCTTTGAAGATTTTACGAAGATCTCTCTGTAAAAGATTGATTGATAAATCTTTTAATCTACCAGGTACATTATGCGGCACATGACCAAATAAAAAAACAATTGGGCGATTATTACTTGTATTAGTATTTGGGGAAAACTATTTTGGCATTTCGGATTCGGTGATGATCATTTATTATTATTATTAATAAGAGAGGCATATTTATGATCATATTGTAAATTATTAACATCCAGGTTTTAAGATTTTTCCATTTGTATTAATAAAATCAGACAATTCAAGAAATTGTTGATTGTAAAAATATAACTTCACAGCCTCAATATTTGGAAATGAAATATTTTTTCCAACTTTTTACTTTGCTAGAATAAGATCTTAACTCTAAAGTTTTTAATTTTTAAAAGTTGATAATAATAAATCATCTAAATTATTTCCTTTGCAACAAGTTCCATAAAAAATTATTGATTGTGAGTGTGTTAATATTACTTTTTTTAGTTCACCTGGTAAAATTGGGTTTCTTTCTGATCCAATATCGAAATATTTAATTCATATAAATCTTTATCATCTTTAGCAGCATAACATATTCTTTATTTTTACAGGTATTTGTTAATTTATCAAAAAATTCACCATTGTAAGAACTATCCCAATCTATTCCATAAAGGCTCTGAAAACAATCATCAAATCTATGATGATTAATTAAAAAATTACAATATAAATTACTAGCACTAAAGTCTTCTAATACCTACTGAATGATCTAAAATAAATTTTATTGATTTATTTTGTAAAGGAATTTTTCTAAGACCATAACTGATAGAAATTCTAGTACAAAATCTGCATAATTGTATAATGGTGGTTTTTCCAATAGTTTAAAAATTAATTTAATTCCTGTTAAGTAATCCTTATCTTCTTTCAATAAGCAATTGATTAATATTTTGATGCTTTTATACGAATAAAATGGATTTCTCCATAAAATAGGCATATTGATACTGTGCCATTGTTTGTTGACAAGTGTACATGGATATATTGTTTTATAAACATTTTCAATATATTTAGATATTTCAGTCATAAGTTCCGGGGACAAACTTATTTTTTGGTGAGATGAAGTTCTAAATGAAAAAAATTTATTTATTTATTTCCAACTAATTTATCTTGAATATTAAAACTAGAATGATGACGAGTGGCGATAACCACCGCCACCATTCTTATGATAAACGCTTATCCAGAAACTGCCACCCGTTGATTTTCTTTATTTCTATTTCTTTTTTATAAAAAAAAACTCCCAACACGTAAAAAAAAAATGTATATAAAATAATTATTATTGTTGTACAAAGATGTCACGAATTCATTCTTTTTTTTTGGAAAAATTAATTGGAATCAAAACGCGGAACAGATCCTGTTGGTAATTATAAGATCCTTGTCAAGATGATAACGATATTTTGCTCTGCGTAATCGTTAATAATATTATCAGTAAATATCAGAATCTGATATTTCTTAAAAAAATAATTAAGGTATTGGCATGCTGATAAGGTAATAATATTCTTAGTATTTTTATCATATAGCCTAAAAGCCTATTAGTAAATGTTGAAAGTGCCAATATTTATCAAATATTCTTAAATTATTGGCTTAATTTAATAAACCAATAGCTCTTTGTATTGTAATTAAGTTATTGGTTAAATATTTCTAAAGCTCTCTGTACTAAAATAACATCGTAATCTTAGTAGTAGTTAGGGTTTCTATTCGAATAACGTTTATTGGAATAAAACAAATAATTTGAATAAAACGAATAAAATGAATAAAACGCATAAAACGAATAATTTGAACAAAACAAACAAAACGAACAAACGAACAAAACAAATAAAATAACAAACAAATAGCTTTTATTGCGAAATAATTAATTTTGTCCCTTT